CTTTGCTTTTTGAACTATACAAGATTACTATATAACTCGACCTAACAAGTTTTTATCTTTAAATACCAATCAATATGACACTGGAGACAGTCAGCAATCGACTAAATGGTGACTCAGAACTTACCCATAGAATAAACGTACCGGTTGATGAAATCACATTAGGCGTGCAGTTGTGCTTGACCTCAACAGTCTTCAAGTTTCAGGACGAAATATATAGGCAAAGTTAAGTAGCAATAGGTTCACTAATATCTCCAATCGTAACAGATATATTTATGGATAGTTTGGAAAACACGCCTTTACAAACGTTTAATCCTGCACCCAAGATACGTTGGTGATATATGGATGACGCATTTACTGTATTGAAATCGAAACCCATACTGGATTGTAGGACAAGACGAAGGATAGACAGTGGTTGGGATTCTATCGTTTACAGAAAACCAACATATTCCAACACGTATCTAGACTTCAAGTCATCTCATGCAATGTCAGTTAAGGCAGGTTTAGTCAAATGTCTAAGTGATACAGCTAGAAAACTGACCACTGAGTGCAAGAACCTAAACAAGGAACTGAGGCACATAAAAGAAGCGCTGATAGTTACTAATTATCCCCTACAGTTTATTATGAAATCCGTATGAACACACAAGAAACGAAATAATAACAGTAACACGAGTACGAATAAAAACAACAACACGAGTAGACAGGAATTCACAGCCTCCATTGTGTTACCCTATCGAGAACGTACATCAGAAACTTTACATAGGATCCTCGACAAAACTGGAATTAGGGTGGCATTTAAGCCTACAAACTCAGAGATAAGCTTTGTAGGCTGGTTTAAGGAGCCGATAAAGCCAATTAAGCAATCTAATCTTGTTAGTCGGGTGGAGGCAATCAGCCAGGTTGCTGCCCTGGACCTAGGTTCCGGGCTTGTTGGCATTTGTCAGAAGGGCGTCTCTGTAACCTCAACTGGATTGATGTTCCGACTGAGATTAGAACCCGCGTCATCAAATGTTGTCTTCTGCGACGTTACCGTTGAGCTATTAGGGCTGTGACTAACTTCTTGTAGGACTGGATTAGATACACTGATTGGTCACTGGAGGGCAACCGACTTCATGTTGTCGAGTCCTACGTGGTGATCGAATTGTATCGATCATTTTGCAATGCGGTCATCAGACCAGGAAGCTAAGCAGGGGACACACTTTGATAGATGTTAGTTGAATGGAGGCAATCAGCAGAAAGCTCAGTGGTGACGTCACTGACTACAACACTGGGTGACGTGGCTTCGAATCTCAAGCGGGACATCAGTCACATCGGGGTTGCAGACATGCCTTGCTGAAGACTGCCAACGAGTACGAAACCTAAGTGCAGGGCTTCCTGCCGATTCTCTCCATCCAGCTAACATCTATCGAAGTGCAGTGCAATGCTCAGCTGCCTAGTCTGGTGGTCACATTGCAAAATGACCGATACAATTCGATCACCACGTAGGACTCGACAACATGAAGTCGGTTGCCCTCCAGTGACCAATCAATGTATCTAATCCAGTCCTACAGGAAGTCAGACGTGGCCCTAATCTACCAAATCCCATGCAATGACTGTGAGTTTAAGTACATAGGTCAAACTAGCCGGTCAGGGTCAGTTAGATAAGTGCAACATAAAACGTAGCTAGATATAGAATGACAGACAACCAGATCAATAATCTAGAAAAACACTCCGCTATCTCAATGCCTGCATTAACATACAACCACACAATAGGGTGGGATAAAACCGTTGTACTTAATTTCAATATAATTAAGTGGAGAGAGAAATCGATTACTGAATTGAATCTACACCCAACACAAGTATTAGGAATAACGCAACACCTATACCAGAGATATGGAAAACCTTACCACCAATAGAAACAAAGAATAAAAGGTGATAGGACTATAAAACTCAGATATCGAAAGTAGTGTGATCACATTGATATGAATATGAGTAACAGTTTATGCTCGAAACGTCATCAAGTAAATAATACTGTATCACTGTGTGCTATACATCAAGTAGACGAATCTAATATGTGCTATTTCTTTCTCCTCATTCTGCGGGATATTCATTCTGTATTCATGTCGGGTACTAGCAGTGGAATCCAAGACTCGTCAGCTGGATTTATCTACACCTCAGTGAGTGATCTTGTCCCTACTGAGACTCAGATCCACTACCGATCAATCCAAACGCCAAAGCGTTAACCAATAGGCCACTGGGGCTCGAGGGTAGCCACTTATGCAACGAGCGTCTTTTGTTGTTGCTGTTGTTGTTTGATATTTGTAATTCCCCGTTGCTATACAGGAAACCACTTTTGTTTATCAGACTGCTGGTTTAAAGAAACCAGTGGACTATCTATCTGAAAAATCCTTTTATGATATGTTTTCTCTGGCAACTAAACATAACTTGTATTTAAATTAAGTCTTTTCTTATCAAGGAATTGAACAATGAAGTGGACTATGGTTTCACGAATTTCAGTCCATAAAACTGAACCAATGCCTATGACCTTTTAAGATTTTACCATACACATAACACAGTTCTTACAGCATATAGTTTCATTGTGTCACCTTCCTGTTAATACCATTTGCTCACTGTTTCAATAGTGCTTTCTTCACAGTTACTAGGGAACCGTAAAATTATCTTGTTTCCGCGTAAACTTGGAAGTTAAGACTCCAATCTCAGCAATAACTCATTAAACGCAGCCTACCCATAGCTCACTATCATAACTGAATTATAGTTCTTGTAATTTCACCTTTATGACCATGGGTAAACAATATATTACATCTGTGTAGTGTAGGCAATGCAAAGTTGATCTAATTAATGTTTGTATACCTGTACCACGATCAGTTTCAATAAGACTGGTTGTTGATAATTTTGATTAATTTATCTCTGTATTATTACTGCTTTCAGAAACAAATATTATTCTATTAATTGCTTAACAACCACCCCCCCCCCTCCATGTGTGTATTCAGAAAGGGTACATGTAATCAATGAAGTGATCAATATTCATGTTCAGTTGATCAAGGATCAGCATCATAGTCTGTAATAAGTACAAATGAACTTGTTGAGATCGTAAGAATACAAAATAAAAATCGGCAGTAATATTGATTGTGGTACAATTGATAAACACACTGGAGTAATATGAAATCTAGTATAATGGTGTAAAGAATAACCTTATGAATTTACTAACAGTCTTTGGTTCTTGTCTTGGTCGGAACGACACCACTCACTTTGGGGGGGGGGCACATTTACTTGGCGAGTCCCAAACAGAACAAAACGTGCGTCCCGTATACCACTGCCAGCCACCACCCATCATTTACTGTGACACATGTTGACAGTGCTTAGAAAGAGAATTAATGCAAGCAGAGACATTTGAGTTCACTATGACCCACTAAATACAACATTTATGACTGTAAAGATTAGCTTTTTAAGGGCTTACTGCTGGAAAGTCAACTACTGAATGCATTTGTTGGTATCACAAGTTTGTTTTCTCACAATCACCTGTCAGCCCTCCATCAGACTGTGTCCAACATGTTCATCAATTATTTAATCTCACGTAAGCCCAAAGCTCTAACAACTTGTTATTGGGTACATCACTTCGTAACAGGGTCTTAGCCTTATGAAGTGATGTTACTACAGACAACGTGTGATATGAAGCTACTTGGGCAGACTATATTGGGAAGAAATGTTTTAGAACTTAGCACGCTAACAGATCAAAAGCTTGTTTCTATTTGGAGAAGCAAATATTTCTGCTGGGACACAAATGTCACATTCAGTCAATTATTTTTAACCACAGATATAACTTCATTAAAGATTGCTTTACACAGTTAGGTCAGTACAGTGATCATTACGTTCCAATACTCACTTTTTGTAGTTTAGACGGACAATTTCTAAAGTGTTAGTTCTCATTCTGGCTGTCCTCAAGTATCGATTAATTAAAATCAGACTTCAGATTGCAGCATTTAACGAATTGCAAATTTGTTAGTGGTTTTAAGTTACATGAGCAAATCAAACATCAAGGTGTTTTCTAAAAATATGCTTGTCAAGGAAGTCAGAAGTCTATACTGCAGAGTAATTTGTTTGAGAGAGTACGTAATTTGAATCTGTTTTGACAAAAACATCCAAATGATAAAGTTAGCGCTGTGATCATAAGAAAGCTGTCAGAACTAGCTTTATGCAGTATCATTTATTTAAAAAACAACTGGGACATTTATTGATCCATATCCAAAAACCAGATATTAAACTCTAGAGTGACCGAGTGGAAGTGACTGAAAAAATAATACGAGATACGAGGACGCTAATAACACAATGAAACACTCGAAATGGATGGGAATAGCGACTGTTCCCCCTTAGGCCTAATACTTCACTGGGTCGTGAAAATCAGAAGATAGAGATCAGCCTGTAACTGTAAAGAAGACGACTTTATGCTACAAAAAACACATCATTTGTATACAGTTTTTCTCAGGAAATAAGGCCACTGTCAGAATTTGGATACTTATTTTTATTGGCCACCTGTAGGAAAAAATTGTCCAATATGGTTTTTCCTGCCCTATGCAGTAATATGAAACAAGGTTAAAATCCCAAACCTATACCTTAGTGGTTAGTGACTTAGAATTTTGATTTTAATTTAGGTCTCTTACTATCAAACTCTTACTTTCAGAAGTAGATTAGTCTTTCAGTTTTTTGACTTTTTATTTTAAACTGGATGATGTTTAATGAGTACCCGAACGACTTCTGGAAAACAGGTATATTTAGCTAAGTAAGCTTTGAAACGTATTTCATTGAATCCACTGGTGCCTGCTTTAGGCTTGCTGTTCCATTGGTTAATTTAAGCATTCCACTTGAAGAATAAATTATCGATAGCAACCTTCAATATAACATGCTTTGGATAAAAAAAACCTTAGTCTTAAAATGCTTGTTGGTATTATAATGACGTCGTGTGCTGTTTTGTTTGAAAAAGTGCATTTTATTGCCTACCTTCTTAGGTGGTGAGGCCGAAGGAGAAGATGACGAAGAGAAGTTACCGACATGTATGGACTATGTAATGCACTTCCTTACTGTCTTCTGGAAGGTTCTCTTTGCATTCGTCCCTCCAACAGGTAACGTGTTGATCTCTTCATGCATGAAAATAATATATGTACCGAACAGTTCTTTCTTTTCATATATAGACATGATTTCAATCAGTAAGGGGACTGTTTACCTCAGTAAAATGAAATATTTATGGGTTCTGATTTTATGTAAATATTGAATAATATTTTTTTTAATGGCAGTTACAGTATATTTCAATGCAAAGAGTTTAGTGCTGATTAAGAATCCTTGCAAACCTGGCAAGATGTTGTCATATCCCAGTTACAACACATTCAGCAAAATGTTCAAGTATCCTTTGGTGTAATCGACATGATCGGTTGTGTAATCATGTCTTCTGCACTTACCTTTTACTTTACACACATACACACAGTTCAAACACAAATGACTGACAATTGCAATGCTGCTGGAGCTTTTTTGATCATGATTTCCTGAACCAAGTAGATAACAGAAGTTGAGAATGTATACGAAACTTGGGGTTTAAGACAGAGATTAAAACAATGTTGAATAAGTCACTAAACAGTCCCTGCTTTTGTGCACTCTACAAGGTGATAACTTAAAAAACTGATTTCACAGTTCAATAGGAATCAAATCCAGTTGCCTATGGGTTCGGCTTAATAAGCTCAATATATACTACTCATCTAAGATATTAAGTGAAGCGAATCGCTTTCTACCTGTTCGACCGCCTCTAAGAACAACAGACTACTCAAATATCAACCCACACCATTTACAAAGTTCTCCACAAGCTGTTGCTCATTTATTGTGTACGTTTGACAAAGAAAATACTGTACATTAGTAGTAGTAGTAGTTCACCAAAATGCAAATAGTTTTCCTGCGTTTTGTACCTTAATTAAATATGAATGATATTACCCAACACCTATTTCCAACAAACGGAATCACTCCATATTAAGTTAAAGAGCAAAGACATATAAGTGAAGAAAAGTTCCGTTTCGTTTACTTAAGCTGTACAAAATTATTTATCACCAATGGAGATAAATAACAGTCCATGAATAATCAGTAGGGTCACACGTTTACCATAGTTTTCAAGGGTAAAATAAACAGTTTATCTTATTAATATAGGTGTAAAACTTGGGCACTGTGGTAGAATTTAATTCCATACTAGATTTGTTTATTTGATTTATAACACACAGTGATTTAATATTATTTACTTGATGACATTTCGAGCATAAATTATTGCTCATATTTTTAAAGAAAAAAGGAAATTACTACTATCGTCATGGTAAGGTTAACAAGTGCAGGTAATTTTCATTTTGAATACAAAGATCAAGCTTAAGATTGTGAATCACCACTGATTTAGTTATGCACAAATGAAATAGCTGCAGTCCTCTGAAACTGGAAGGAGGCTATTCAGCCGGACCAGGCGTTTAAAAATAAATCTCTTGGTATTCTTTATTTCTCTTTTGGCTAACATACCTGGACAATGTATTTTTGAGATGAATGGGGATTTTTAATTTAGAAGTAGTATTCATCATGGACTGACATCAGTTGGGGAACCATTGAAAATCTGGGAGCACTGGACAGCTGTTTCGTCCTAGTATGGGACCCCTGAGCAGTACGCACCTGCGACCCGGCTTGGGGTCGAACTCAGGACCTTCAGGTTCCACGGCGAACGCGTTGACCATTCAGCCACTGGGTCGGTTTCCAGCGGTTTTATAATATATTTACAAACATGATACTATGTACGGTCACTGTTTGTTGCTTCCTCACGAACAGATGAGCTACATATTGAGGTGACCCAAAGCTGTTTTCTATCTTTAGTGAATTGATGGATTAATTGTCTGCTGGAAAATGTTATTCTCAAATCATCTATGTGAAATGTTTTCCGCAATGATCGTGATAGGTGAATTTCGAGGGTTTTAGCTGCAACAATGTTCTGTAATTCCAGATTCATATGAAGACATTTTACCCCAAAACGGTTGATTATTCTTGTATTTGTGGCCTTTCTTCCATGTTACAGTCGACATATCTATATGGTCAACTGTTCCTTTTCATAGTGATATGCAGAAATTTCAGATTACTATCTACTGTGTCTTCATAACAGATCTCCGGAATCCTTCAACACTGCGTACTTGTTTGAGTTTGAAGTTGATAATGAGACGAATATATTTTTGAAATTTCATGAACAGGCCTGCTCATGTTGGTTCTCTGTGGCAAAAATGTTTTTTTTCACTGTTACTTTTATTTTTAGCTAGTGTTCAAGTTGCAAACTTAATCTATCTGGTAGATGTTAATGTTCACCAAGTTGAAGATTTTTGTCTACATCAGTCAAATAAATAAAACGAAAGCTACAAGAACATTTCAATGTGGATGCTGCCACCCTGAGTTACAAAGCTCTCTCTCTCAATAAACTCTTCTGATAAAATCTAAGCCAGACATCATATAGAAACATAACGAATCACATGTCCTATTTATATTCCTTACTGAAAACTTGCTGGGTAGCATTTCGCAATAGGATAATTTAAATCACGGAGATGGTTCTAGCTAGATAACAATTTTACGTTGAAAAATTCTTGTTTAGCTACTTATTAGAGTCAGTTTGCAAGGGAAATATATTTGTAACTTGCCAGTGAAGTAGAAAATTAACTTTCTGACGTTTTGTGACCCAGTGCATGAAACCTCTTCAAACATATTTACAAATATATTTCTTTCATGAACCATTTACCCAGTAGTCGACTGGTTCATTTCTATCAGGTCGAAATTTTTCATCATGAAGTCTACAAAACGAGTTAATTTGCTTTGGTTCTGCAAAACTTGTGTCATGATGAACAAAGTTTCTTTCACAGTAAAATCACGTCGTTACTCACTATCATGATACACTCTGTGTCTGGTCTTTTGAGTACTTTCAGTGTAACCAAGATATTCCAAAAACATTAATAGTTTTCTGAGTATATGAATCGTCTAGAAGTTCTTATTAACAAACAGAAATCAATCAGAGTATATGAGAAAAACATAAGGCACTAAACATCTGTTCTAATTAATAAGCATTGACCTATGCATATCTATAACCTCTTTCAAAAATCAAACCATAACGTTTCATTTTACTAATGAGTAAATTAACTTGTGAGTGAAGAAAATTTATAAACCACTGAAAACAATTTCTCTTATTACTAATAAACTGTAAGTTGCATAGGTGTGTTGAACTACTGACTACATGTTCACCGACTCAACATGAAGCCTATAGATGATGAGTTCAGGCTCAGCAATGATTGAAATATTTACATTTTAGACAGTTCTGGAGTTTCTATCAGTTAGCAGAGATGTTTTCTTTTGTATCCATTAGCTGAATTCCCATGGATTACTGCCTTTCACATTCAACTGTTTATTCACTTAAACTAATGATTCAAGTTATAGAATGAAAATAAGAAAATAATTGAAGACTAATTCTTTTTAAATAACCCAACTTTTAATCACCACAATCCATCTCATCCTACAACATCTGCATGAAATACCGCCCAAAAGTGCTTTAATTTACTTTACAACATTTTCTGTCGGTATGAAGACTGGAAATGAACCCGAATAAAGCGACGGGTGGAGCCAACCAAGTTAAATATGTGGACAGATACTCAACATCGGCACTGGATGGGAGTTGTACCATATCACGAACTGACAGAAGAAGGAAAGATGGACCATTGGATTCCAAAGGTAACATGCTCGCCAAAGAAACCTGAAGGTTTTGAGTTCCATTGTGGGTGGGATCATGCGTGCGCACTTCTGTACAGTACTCCAAGTTTCACAATGGTACTCAAACTAATGTCAGCCCATGATAAATACCAACCTGAAATCATTAAACAAATCACGACAAACCCTCGAGATGAAAAATTGAAAGATGAATAAAAACTACGCGGGAGAAAACATGACAAATTAATGAAGAATGAGAAACTCTTTAGATATTCTAATGTGATACAGAATAAATAAATGTCTTCTACAGCGACCGATTGCGAATAATGTCACCATAGGTTTCCAACTACTGGTTTTAAGAATCCTCAATGCCACCCACAAAGTTTACACTCATCTATGCCTTTGAATTGACCAGTCAGTTATTTCCTGAACTGAAGTTACATCGCAATCTAACCAGGCTATTTCCTCTGACTTACCTAACGAAATAAACATGATCTCAAGCTATATACCATTGGCTTCTACACAAGTTAGTCGACACAAGCTGTCAGCTTATTTGAGTGAATTACACTTTAAACCGAGTACTATGCATTAAATATTAACATCATTTACGTGATAGCTCAAATACTCACATTGCGGAAAACATAACAGTTTTCGTGTATTTTCTGTCCACTGATTATGTTTTGCTACAGTTTATTAGCTGTCTCCTTATAAATCACCAGTTCTCCTGTCGGTATCTGTTAATGAAATTACGAATCTATGACATTCGGAAGTTAAACAGGAACTACGCTTTTGTCCCTCTTCACTTCGTTATGAAAAGAAGTTACCCACCACTTACCTCGTTGCATGCTAGGGGAAACTGGATTACGTTGGAAAAGGTTTCAGGGTAGCCAGACCAAGATGTGGCACCATACAGTGAAGTCTCTGACTGTGACTCTGAGCCATATTGGGAGATGAAGACTGTCTGGTTGGGGTCCACGAGACTGGGAGAATCAGTAGTTGTCGACTGTTGGTGATATGGCTGAAAACTGGTCACAGTGGTACAGATATATTCACTCCTTGATATATTCTGAAGCTTGAATATCAAACAACTTTGTCTACTTTGATATCGGCCACCTTCCATCCAGCTGATCTTTGTATACTACTACTTTGAAGTGTAGCAACCTGAACCAATGCACTTGTATGTGGGGTTCTACGTTAATTTTATCAGTCGGTCAGTCATTTCCATATACATCTAATCTACAAATTTTGGAGCGCAAATAGTGGAAGTAGTTCGGTCAAAAGTAAATCAGTGAAATATATTCGCCAATTTCCCTAACCTTTGAAATGCTGGGCTGCTGGTGTGTCTGTAAAACTGGCTTCTACTTTTTTAAAGACTGTACATGAAAACTTGAACAGCTCCATAGTTAGCTGTAACTAGTCTGAGCTATTTTATCTGTCTGAAATCACTGACAGAATAGTACCTGCTCTCTGATAACGGTCAGAATGTCATTATAAATAAAAAATCTTTCTTTAAGCATACACCACGACATTTCTTCATAACCGCTTGTTGATTTATTTGAAGTGGCACTTAAGTTTTTGGGCCCTGTAAATCAGACATAATTACGTTTATCTCCAAGGATTCATGTTAACTTTAGACCGATAGTTTTCACATCCTGCTACAATTCAATGCAATTTTCTGATATGGATTATTGATGAAGTTGTATGAACTAAATGGTTTCATAGCGTATATCAGGATAAAACTGCCACCTTTTAGTAAGGATAACTGTTTCACCACTCTCCTGCAAGTGCATCTGAGATAGCTTGCAAAAGCTAGCAGTAGTCGAATCAGTTTTGCTGTCGTCACTGTTGTTAATAATGTTTCTTGATGCGGATGTATAATATTGCTCAGGAAACTTACCAGTACTGCTTTATGGTCATTACAGGTGTGTATAGTTTTACTGTTTATTTTAGGAACTTATATGTACAGATACCAGATCATGTCACTGATTACAGTTGACAGTAAAACACAGACATGTTGAGTATTCAATTCAAAGGTCACTATGCAAAATGCTTCAACACTAAAAACCATTAGTTTCCTTAGCAAAGCACGAGATGCTTATCATATTCACTGAAAACTTACTTCAACTTATAGTTTTGTATTCGATGGTGGTTTTTTTTTGTCAGATGTAAAAAATCTCAAAACCCATATTTTAGTTTATCGAACAAGAGGCACTCGTAAAAATATCCTATTCACCGTCTGAGATACCGACTGCAATACTAGCAGTTAACTAGAATCTAACCTTTATCCGAAATAAGTGAACACAAGCGAGTCACAAACAGCAGCAATTTCGGAATCCCAACTCATATCAAGATGCACTGAAATAGTATGATAAGCCTCTGCAGAATTGTGAGATTCATTGAATTTACAACTTTTATCCCAATCGCCATCAACGGTAGAAACTTAAAAGAAGTAGCCTCTTTCACCTGCACCTATCTAGGCAGCATCGTTTCAACTACAGGCGGCACAGACGAGAATGTCAAAGCCAGGGTCGGAAAGACAGAAAGACACTCCTTCATTAATCTGAAACCA